GGATGGATGGATGGATGGATGGATGGATGGATGGATGGCTGGCTGGCTGGCTGGATGGATGGATGCTAGAACATTCTGATATTTCGCTTACCTTAAAAGTAGGCGATAAGTAGTTCTTGAGGAACCAAAACTTGACTTTACTTTTGGTATGCTTAAGGACACTTAACATCATTATCCTGTCCAAAAGTATAGATTGAGTAAATCAGGTTGTAAAAGTAAAGTGAATCAATCACTGCTAGAACTAGTGCTCACTCACCTCATAAATCGTTCATAAAGATGACCTGAAGCCAGAGAGAAGATATTGATGATTTTCTCATCTTCTACTTTGTCTTTTTTCTTCTCGCTACCAACCATGCTATGACAAAACAGCGAAGGAATTTATCAAGGTAAGAGAACTATGAGTTGATAGGTAACATTAACTAACGATGTTTGTGTGTCCTGTTGGATGAGGGCTCCACAGGCTATTAAGTGCTACCCCCAAAAACAAGGATGGTTCATCTCATTTTAATGGATTACTTTTACGATACAGGCATAATGAAACGTCCAGGGGGGGGAGGGCAAAACAAAAAAACCTGAAAAGTTGATGGATAATATAGAGGTTTGTGTGTTTCCTTTTTTAATAGGTAAAGGTGCTCGATACAGTGTCGTATTTTGCTCTGACAATAACAGGCGATATGAAGGAAATTACCCCCTGGATGTCCCATGGTGCCTTGCGATCCAAGATGGCCGCCATATTGTCGATGTAATCTATTCTGATGGTTGGTATTCTTACCTTGATAAAGAATCCCACAATCCTCCTCCTCCTCCTTTTTCTTCGTCTGAATCGGCTAAAAGATCTACTCCCTCCATTCCTGGTTTTCTCTTCACCTGCCACCAAAAATAAAATCAGATATGAACACTCTAAATTTTATTTTATTGCCTCATAATAGACTTCTTTACCTTTGTATGCAACGGCAAATTGCTCGTTTTAGACCACGTGACATTCCCCTGAGAATTTTTCTTTTAATATGACAAAAATATTGTGAAAGAACCAACTCCCAAGAGTGGCATCACATGGTCTGAAATGGGTTAACAAACAACGAAGATAAAGAGGTCTAATTTTTTATTATTCGCAAATAAGCGAAAATTCCAACCTTGACTTTCATTAGCTTGCCAACAAAACTGTCAATAAAAATGGTGTAGTTGTTCGTTCCTTCTTGTTTAGTTCCTCCACTAACACTGGAATTAAAAAAACGTTTGAAATAAAAAGATAAGAGGAAAAGAGCATTTCTTCTATAAACATTTTCTCCAGATACCATTATTTAGTATCAAACAATTACTATCATTTGGTATCAAACAAATTTTGTTGTTAGAAAAACAAATGTTTGCGCCATTTTTGCTGGTAGGTTTTCCCGCTCTTTTTAGAAGGCAGCCGCGCGGCTACCTTTAACCGGAAGTCAATTCTTTCCGGAAGTCCCGCTCTTTTTCGTAAGTAGACAAACTCGACAAACCTAACATTTCCATGATTAAATAAGGAAGTGAAACTTTTCCGTTCTTTAGATCTAAAGTCAGCTATCCCGCGCTTACGAGCGGCTAAACGTGCATACCATTACTAAAGGTTCCTTATACCTGTCAATGTCGTAGATGTCAGCAGACCTTCCTTCGCGCACGCGCAGTACCCAAGAACCCGGGTAAGCCTTGAGTTGAAAGTAACCCTGCAACGAAAGAAGAAATAAAGAAAAAAGTTTGGGACGGATATCTGGAGAATCTTGAAGATCAAATCGCCCCTGTTCTTAACCAATCAGAGAGCACGAAAATGCGCATTATCCAATCACGATGCTTAGACGAATACGCCTTTATCAAAATACATATATAATGATTTAGCAAGATTTTCATGTGATGTCACAGCCGCCATGTTGGTAGACTTGAAAAAAAGTCTTGATTTCTTTTGTTATGTCAACCAACATGGCGGCCATGTCTTTTGTTCTTTATCTTCGCACACCAACAACAGATGCAGGGTGCAGTTTGACTTACCAAGTTTGCCATGACTATTGTATCAAACATGTCTGGCTTGGCTTTGGTCCCCAGAGTAAACTGTAAACCACGAGGAGGTTGACCAGACAGATAATCTGAGCAATGGCCTGAGGACAACAATAAGTATATAGGTCCCTTATAATGTTGACATTTGTTAAACTCTAGAGCTCACTTCCGAGATGTCTTTCGTTTGTCAAAGACAAAGGTTTCAATGTGAGGCTTCGTGCATAATGCTCAGTGATTTGTGACATGCTTGACTTCGTGCACAATACTCCGTGATTTTTGCAGGAGAAAAGGATAAATTAAATTGAGCCTCGTACTGAAACCTTTGTGTGACAAGCGAACCAAGTTAGCAGTGGAGGATGTCGATTAGAGAGAATCATTATACTATAGAGACTGGATTTCATACCTTCAATAAAAATGTATTCCAGCTCAAAGTCAGCACTAACGCCTTTGCTAACCTGTGAAATATGAATAATAAATAAGGGGTTTTCATTATGTCTCAGCACACTTTACACAAAGCTGAAGAAAGTTCCTTACCTCTTCCAAGTAAATGTTGTCCAAATCGTGAGGAGTCCACACTGCTTCCACCATCCATCCCAACGGTGTATCCATTGCCATGGTGAGGAGAGGGGTTTGGGGCAAGTCCGTAAAAAGTCCGTAAGGGCCTGGCTCTAGGTTCCCATTGGTGTCAAATGTCAGGTGAGGTTCAAGGACATATCGATAGAAGCGATTAAGCGGGAATTCAGACAGTTTCTCTCTACAGTTCATGTAGATGTTGATGTTTAGGTTGGTAACGTTTTGTAAAACCTGCGAAGAAAAACAAGCTTGTTTCCAACACCAAGAAAAAGAAAATAGCGTGACATGCATCAAACTTGAGTCTAGAGCCTTCCGGCTCTTTGGTCAGCGGGCTGGTGCCAGATAGACAGTCTTACCAAGCGCTGACGACAAAGCAGGAAGGCGCGGCGCTGGAGGAGTCTGCGTTCGACACTGGGCATGCGCTGTTTCGACGCCTGGGTTCGATTCTCGACTGAAAAACATGTGAGCTGGGGTTTCTTTGGTGTGCCGTTCTCTCCCTTGCCAAGAGGGCTTTTCTCCAGGTTCTCTGGTTTTCCTCCCTCCATAWAATCAACATGTGAGCTGGGGTTTCTTTGGTGTGCCGTTCTCTCCCTTGCCAAGAGGGCTTTTCTCCAGGTTCTCTGGTTTTCCTCCCTCCATAAAATCAACATGTGAGTTGAGTGTTGTATGTTGTAAATATAGAATGTAGTGGTAATGCGTGTGGAGGGAACCTCACAGAAGAGCCCCTTAAGGGGAGTCATAGATGTATATTATACGTTTTCCAGACAAAAGTCACCTACCATAAGAAAAGGGGCCACCTTCTGTGCAACCTTCGTGAGAGGATCGAGAATCAACGCCACATTCATACTGGCTTCAGCCTCGCTCTTGATGTGAACAGCACTGTGCTCGACTTCTGAAACAGGAATCTCGATTCTTGATTTCTTCTCACGAGCACTCAGTATGGAAGAAATCTTCATGATGGCGTTACTTCTGTCAAACATGTAAAACACGTGATCGTTTATCCTTTTATCTTAATTATCATCACCAACATCATCATCAACATCATCATCAATATCATCATCATCACGTATCTAACCTGTAATCACTTGTATTATCATCATCATCATCATCTCATCACCACCACCATCATCATCATTATCACGTTCTTACCTGTATTCACTTGTATCATCATCTGGTGACAAATCTTTAAACGCCATATTATCCACGATATCCTTGACTTGTTTGCCGTATGAATTCATGTCAAAGTCTTCTAGTAACTGGAAGTCTTCTTTGATAAACACCTCGCTCTCTTTCAGTGGACCCAGTACCTAAGAGGATTAATCGAGTTTAGTACTGAAAAAAAAGACGGCAACAGACAGACATATCTTGTGCTTACCCTTCCATTAGCGATGACTGCAGTCTCTCCTAGTTTTAATCCAAGCACTGATTTGCAGAATTTTTGATGAGACTTAATTCTTCCTAGGGACGATTTTTCGTCCTTCAAGATTTCTTCTATTTTCAGGTGTTTCAAATCCTGGAAAAAAGCGAGACACGTCTTTGAAAAACCCCGAATTGGTAATTACGCGACCAACACAGTCCATGCAGTGTGTGTGTTTTGGCTTCCGTGAATAAAAAATATTAACTCACACCACTGGAAATTTGCTTGACGGAAGTAAAGAACCTCTTGCATCATATCTAGTTGTCTAGGAGGTCGTGTCATTGACCTCTACTACCAGACTCCCTTGAACACTTTCTTTTGTTCAGTTAATTAGCACCAACTGTCTTACTATTCTCACGAGGGAATACGAATTTAAAGAAGAAAGAAAATAGGAATAACTTCAATATACCTTGGAATCCTTGATGAACTGTAGAATTGCCTCAAAATCTTTGTCAAGCTTCTCGAAGTCATTCCCACTGTTCAGCAGTCTTTCCATAAAGTCAACCATAGCAGGTGTCACGTGATCCTTGGATTGTAAAACGGCTTGAACCGCCCTAGTTAGGTACAGTTTCTTGCCGGGCTCAGCAACCAGCTTTACACTTGGGTTGTGAAGGATTCCGATACGAATGTCGGAAGAAGATTTCTGCCGTAAAAATAGGAATGAATAAATTTTCATGCAAAGGGAAAAGGGAAGCAAGTATAAAAATGGCCAATTCTTTGCATGATGTGGCAGCCATATTGCAAAGTAACCAGGCCTCTGTCTGAGAGCTGGTCAATTGGCTGGCAATTTATAAGCAACGGTGGTACACTGATGACAGTAAGGTAAACAATATAACATACAGAGCTACTTAAAAGTTTCAAAAACACAAACACAACCGCGAAAGAGATCTATTGGTGAGCTGATAGATCATGTGACCTGAGACCAATCACGTGACTTACCATTTGCTGTAATGCACCTTGAAGAAGCTTTCGCCCATGCGCACTGGCTACATCCATAACCACCCAGGCAGTGATAGGTTTGAGGCTCATTTCGTCGTCCGTCTTGGTGAAGTAGTTCATGTTTGTCTCTATTCCACTGACCATCTGGCTTGTGTCCAGCTTGTTGAAGCTATCAAAATCATCCAGGTTGATTTTCACGGCTTCTTTGGGCCCTGTCAGGTCCACCACGCTGAGGTCGTGGGACTGAATCACTTGATTCATTCGCTTGACGACGTTAGGCTTGGACATCACGTGGTCGTAGATGTTGGAATATTGATGAAGTTGACCCTGGATGGGAAATAAAGATATACCATCACCATCACTATAACATGCAGCATCAATTTAAGGCAAACATCTACACTAAAAACAGCAGTAACAGCGACAAAAGCAGTAAACATCATCAATATCAAGAACCAAAACGGCAGACAACAACAACAGCAGCAACAATAACAATCAGCAAAGTAACAATCAACAACAACAACAACTACCGCCACCAATAACAACAACCACAACTACCGCCACCAACAACAACAACCACAACTACCGCCACCAACAACAACAACCACAACTACCGCCACCAACAACAACAAC